TTATTATGATCTTCAGAAACGTTCAAGCATTTCAAAATAGGGCTCATTGACTGCCCATTCGAGACCATGCACATACCACTGCATTCGTATCAAATCGGCGTCTCTCGTTTGCTAAGCATACAGTGCATGAAATGTTTCAAAGTTTATTTAAGTGAAATTCTTGGCTAATGTTTCATTGGTATCTTTAATAAAAGAATATGATATAGTTTTTTTGACGATTTTTTTCAAAAAATTTCAAAAAATTTATTAAAAATAGACATATTGAAAAATAAATCTGGATTCAACCAAAACCAAAAAAATATTTTTTTATATTCATTCATTAATTCAAAAATATTAGTTTAAAATTGGGTTATTTATTTATTTATTTATTATTATTATTATTATTATTATTATTATTATTATTATTTATATATGCGCCAATCGGCTATGTACAGTATATTTATAATATTACACTAACTAATATAAAATTTGAATTCTAGCATATAATATAAAATAATATACGTACACTTTATGCGTAATACTTTGGAAGCAAAATCTAATAATTAATTGCACATAGTTTATTGTATATATTAATTAGTATTGAAATAATACAAATAAATATAAAAAATAGATTAGATTAGATTTTAATGATATAAATACATTTATTGATATGCTTCCCAGATTTTGTAACAAAGAAATAGTCAATTATCAAGACTTTAGAATCAAGAGGAGAATACAAAACAATTGATTTTTATATAAATACAATTAATATTAAATTAATATCAATATGATTAATATTTCTATTTTAATAAAAGTATTTTATTAAAAATGTGTAAGCTCCATTTTTGTTATATAAAATATATAAAGATCAACTGTTGGTTGCCCTCATATATTAATCAATTAGACATAAATAATTAACTAAATCATGAGGAAATATAAATAAAACATAAGAAGTTATGTTATTAAATTATATTAATTTTAAAATAGACTGCAGAAAATCATAAGTCCTTAAAAATTGATACACTTATTAATATATTTCACAGATTTTTATAGTAAAAAAATAATTGCTAAATATATATCAAGACATTGTAATCATTATGAAATTATGGTAAAATTGATTTTTTTATATAAATAGCATTAATATTAATTATTATTGAAAAAATTATCAAAAAATATGCATATAATATAAAATATATCAGCTTTTCCCTCAAATTAATCATTTAGACAATACTGAATCTGTATCATAAGAAAATAGACTGTAGAAAACCAAAAATCTTAAAAAAAAATTGATCCATTCATTGAAATGCTTCACAGATCTTTATAGTAAAAAAAAATAATGGCAAAAATAAATATCAAGACATTAGAATCAATATAAAAAAACAACATTGATTGTAATGTTGTCAACAATGTCAATAAAAAATTACATCAAATAATATGATTGATATTTATATTTCAATAAACTTATCGCAAAATTTGTAGATTCCCATTCTTGTTGATATAAAATATATAGAGATCAGCTTTTTCACTAAAATTAATAAACTAAACAAAAATAATAAACTAAATCAAAAATGATGTAGTAATTGCATCTCGTGCAAACCCTTGATAATATTAGAATATAATATATTCATAAATATTTTATGAAATATATGGTGCAAAATTAATTATATATTGTAGGTTCAGTAACGAAAGTTAAAATATGTTTTTTTATAAGCTTTTGAAAATTAAAATTTCTTAACATTTAAATTCAACATAATTATGCAAATCTATCAATTTTCAACAAAAAATTTTAAGTTTTGTAGGATGAACAAAGAGTATAATTTTATATGTCAATAATTTAGTAATTTTTGACATTCTTGCTATATATTATTCAAAATAACATGATCGTATAATTTATTTTTGAAATAATAGCAGTTATCATGTAACAGTTATAATGTATTCATCATATTTTTACATACGGTCAACATTTAGAATTTACATTTTGTTCAGAGGAAATATGTCTACTAATTGAATAAATATAATTAAAAAATAACATATAACATAATTGATATAAGAACCATGTTTACTTCTCTATTTATTTTAACTTTATCCTAAAATTTATTTCACCTGAACTAGGTATGTACATATATTGTATCTACTCATGTCATTTTAAATTGGAAATGAATATATACAGGCCTGTACATGAATTTATACTTGTTTATCTATAAAAATATATCATATTTATTTATTTATTTTACAAGCCATCTTATTCTAATGGTATTATAATAAGGCTCATGTCAATATTTTAAACATTTTATATAATTTATTTAATTAACAATTTAATAAGTATAGATACTTTTACAATATAAATATTTTGTTTGACAAATTTTTGGTTATTTTATGACATGACTATTTAGTTAAACAAATTATTGAATATTTAATATAATACATAGTTATCGCGGTGACATCGGTTAATGAGGAAAAAAATATTAATATAATTATTAATTTACTTAATTCTTTATAATAATAAAGAATACTCAGGAACAATTATTGATATACTAATATTAATTTACATTTATTACAATTACATACAATTATTTATATACTAATATTTATTTACATATTAAAATTATTAATTTTATCTAATGAACTGGATACATACTGCAAATCGTACTCATACTGCTCTACATTGTGCAGAGCTACATAAAACTTTGGAGTTGTTTTAGTAAACAATAGGTGTTTTCACGTTTTTAGTTCAGTGTTGATTAAATGTTAAGTGTAAATATAAAGAAAACTACTATTATATCTAAAATACTACATATTATTTATCTTTAAAAAAAAGTCGTTTAAATTGAAGTTTTTTAAGCTTAACTCCGCCACTGCCGAATTAACTGTTTTTGACCGAAAGGCGTGACAACGTTGACTCGATGACCGACGATTCGAATTCGCTGTTTCTGTTTGTTGTGTTATTTATTGACAATTAACTTGTGACTGAATTTTGTGTCGTGTTTATTTATTTATTCAACTTGTTTTATAAATTTAGTTGTTTCATTTGAATTTTTGTTTTAAATATTTGACGACGTCATAGTTAATAGGTAATTAAAGGTTAAATTGCCAAACACGTAAAACTATTTAGTAGAAATGGGCGTTAACAATTATGGACTTACACGTTTTTGTTTATTTCTAAATTAGGAAACATATTGTTATTTTTTATATTATAGGTAATTTGTAAGAACCGTCTCTTATTTTCTTAATTACTAATAATTTATCATTTGTGTAATAGTGATGTTTACATTTAGCCCTCATGTGCCCTCATGTTTCTGTATATTTTATATACAGAAGAAAAATAAATAAACAATAAATAACAATATTTTATTTTTAGTCCTGGGAATTAATTTATTAATTAAAAATTAATATTTAAAAATAAAACATGTGTAATATTATAATATATAAATAAAACATATATATGTGTAATATATAGTGCCATCAATGTATCAATAATTATTTACAATTTCTTTAACAGAAATGCCTGTCCTAGAATCTTGTTGGTCGCCATGTATTTGGTCGAATACAGTGAGAAGTGGCAGTTATGCTGTTGCTGTTTACACGGCAGCATTTTCTATAGTTTTAGTAACTATGATTAGTTACATGATAGCTGGAGGAGATTCTACACAATTATACAGTCCTTTATTTGAAACAGATGTCCGTTATTGTAAGTATTCATTCAATGAACAAAATTTTAATTCACATGATTTCGATTATGTTAATTCAAATTTAATTTTCTTATTTCAGCCATGCAAGTTGTTGGAGGTTTTTTTATTTTTTACCTGCTATTATTATTACTTTTTTCTGGATTACTTGTTATTGGGATACGAAAAGGTAATCGTGGACTAATGTTGCCATGGATGACTTCATTTGCTTTGATCATAGCATTCCAATTAATTTTTGGTTTGTGGCTTTTAGGAGGCTATTACATATATGTAAGAATTGTTTTTTTAAGTAGTTTTCAAATGCACAGGAATATGTTTTTAACTAGTAATAATTATTATTTCAGTTGGATTCGGTGTATGCGACACTTATTGACTGGATATGGATGGCATATAATGTAAATTTAATTTATATATTTTGAATTATATTTTATTTTAGACATTACTATAACATATGTCTATTTTTTTACAGATTTACTGTTGGTTATGCGTTTACTCACAATATCAGATATTCAAAGCAATGCAATCACCTAATATTGAACTACTGTGGCCTTAAAATGAAAATTTAACATGATTGACTTCAAGTGTTCATTTATTATATGTCAAGATAAATATTTTTTTATTTATCAACTGCACAAATAATTTATTTGTAAATATTTATATATATATTTACAAAATATGAAAATGCAACATAGTTTTAAAGTAGGTATATTATTTGATAAACCCACATGATGCTACGCTTCACAGATCTTATAGTTATAAGTAAAATGATATCAGAGATGTCAGCTATTAAGTTACAAAATAATCCAAATAAATAATCCGTCCATTTTAAATTTAAGCACGTAGAACATATTGTATTAAATTATAATAAACCTGTAGATATGTTTCTGGTTTTATTTGGCATTGCAAATAGATTCAAAGTGAAAATAAAAGTATGATTAAGTATAAAAAAATGTTTAAAAAATTATTCAGGTTCATTCTTGAGAGCCTAAATCAAGTAAATGTGTAAAAAATAATATTTTGTATATTTGAATATAAATTTTAAACACTTTAATGTAGTATAAATTTATTTGTATATATATTTTTCCATATAAATATATAAAAGATTTCCAATAAATATTTTTTTATAAAATTTTCTAAATGTTTTGAATAATTTATAATATATTAATGCATTAACAATTAAAGATATCCGTCTTTCTAATAATACACATATGATACATTCACACTTTTGAGGTCATAAATAACATCAGATCATTCTATTCACCACATTCATTAATACTATTATCATCATTTGATATTTCAATAGTAATACTGGTCAAGTTATTATAGTAATTTGTTTTATACATTCGAAAATTGCAACATTAATACTGGTATAATCAATAAAACACCACCAACTAAATATGTCAAAGAGCAACCAAAACTCCAAAATGCTGAAAAACACAACCAAATTAGCACAAGTTTTATTATTTACATTTTATGCAACTTTACCAATTGATGCTATAACAGGACCAACAGCCCTAGCTAAAGCTCCTAATGATCGGAACACACCCATAACTGTTCCTTTTTGTTCAACTCCTCCAAATCTAGATGCTAATGACATCAATGATGGAACAACAAATGCAGTAGCTGATAGAAAATTTTACATTATATATAATACATCAACCCAAAATAAATAATCTACTAAACAATAAACTTACAAACTGCAAATAGAAAAAGTCCAATGTATAAGAAATAAATATGAACTATTGGAGACAATGCAACAAAACCATAAGCGGGTACAATAAGCCAAAGACCTGCAACTGCTGCAGATTTTAATTTATGTTCAGGTACTCGTCTCACAAATCCTCCTTGGAATATAGCCATTATTATGCCTAATTATGAAAATATATAAATTATTCTCAAAATATGATAGAGCTATTAACAAACAAAGAAAATCCCATACCAATAAAGAAAAACATTTTTCCCTGTTGCATTGAACTGTATCCAAATGTATGATGGGTTAAAAATGTGAGCGTAAACTCCAGTCCACTATATAAGAATAGGTATATAAAATAAACCTGACCTAATCTTTTTAAATTGTCTTTGTCTGATTTGTGTAATGCCGCAACAGCGGTAAATCTAAAAAGTTTAGGTATGCTGATAAGATTTGTAGCTTGTGATAAAGTTGTTACAGTGGCCTTTGAACGATGTTCCTATAAATTTTTAGATTCAATGATGATTTTTTAAAAATACAAGCTTAGAAAATAAATAAGTGTATAATACCTTTGGGAGTGTTTCATTAAAGAACACTGCCACAAACAGAAGGTCGGCAATCGATAATAAAAATGCAAATACAGCTGGGTACATAAACCAATCCACATTTGTTTTGTCTGTCAATTGACTAAATAAAGCTCCAATAAGAGGTCCAATAGTAAATCCTAAAGAAAATGCTATACCCACCAAAGCCTTCAAATGATATTAAAATTAATATAAGTAATAAAAAGCCTATTCACTATTTCAACATGATTATTTTACCATTCCTTTTGTCCTGCCTTTTCCACTAGACGCATCGGCAATTACTGCCATACTTAAAGAAACATTGCCTTTGCTTATGCCTCCTATAAATCGAGCTAGTATAAACAATGCAAAATTTGATGACAAAGCCCAAACAATGTAAGATATCGATATGCCAGTCTAAAATTCAGTCAACAATGAATTATTTTGGTGATGTGTGTACACATATAAAAGAATAAAAATCTTTTTACCAGACAAATCAACATAACAGGTTTTCTTCCGTAAACATCAGATATTCCTCCAACTAGGGGGCTAATAAGGAATTGAAGAAAACTAAACATGGAACCTAAGACACCGCCAAACAAGACTGAGTTGAACCTTTCTGGAGCTCCAACAAGATTTTGAAAGGTTTTTATGTTATCTGAAAACCAGCTATATAGACCGATAGAGTCATGGACTCTGTAGAATTCCATCAGCGACGGAAATAGAGGCAATATTAGTGTAAATGCCAACAAATCAAGTAGCAAAGAAAAAAATATTATATACACAGCTGGCGACGTCGTACTTTCTGTACTTTTTGATTTTTTGTCTGTAGATACTTCATTATTGTTCGAAACTTTTGATATATTTCTACGTTTTATGTCGGTAATTTTGTCCATTGTTAATACGTTGAAATTTAATGAATAAAAAGATTATGTACGTATTAAAAATAAAACTATTTGTTCATAAGCTCGCACAATGTGCACTGGGCGCTATTAAACTTTCTCTTATCTGTCTCATTTACATACTTTTACTTGTTGTTTTCAGTGGGTCATACTCTAATTTTTGGCATTTGACATTTAAATGTTACCAAAGTCTTAAAGGGCGTTATAATCTCTTAACAAAAATTCCGTTAACTTTTAGACACTTGACATTTTTGATCAGAAAATTTATAAATGTTACAAATTTGCAAATATTGCAAATTCAATAATTTAACATTTGAAGCGTTTATGCAAGAAAAGATTTGAAACAACAACAAAAAATTCACAGACAAGTTTTTGTTCGAAGGTGCCAATCTACGTTCAAAATAATTTATCTATCTATGATATTCAATGTTTATCTGTCATAATAAATCATACAATTAGAATGTTATAAGAATTTGCGTTACTTATATATTTATTACTAACTAAAAGGATATTGTATATATCAAATGATTAATTTGATTTAAATACTTAAAATGTCATCTTTACAAAAAGCAATGCTGAAAAACAGGCTTCCACCAATGCATCCCATGTAAATACTAATGTATTTATATAAAAGTGATTTAACAAAAATAAAATAAAATAAAAATGTAACTTAAAATTATTTGCATCCTCAGAAATTTATCTATGCTAATACTAAAAGTCATTATATATTTCCAGGTTACTTATTTGCGACTTGAAATAAAATTATTCAAACCTATTCTGAATAGTTTCAATTTTTTTATATATACATTGATCTTTTATAATAATAATGTTCTAAAATCAATTTTATTTTAAAGTACATATCTACTTTTATATTTTAAGGAATAAAAGAGATCTGCATGGAGGTCGGAAAAGAGATTATACTCCTGTACATTGGAATCAATATTTTAACAATCGAGATTTTGTCACTACAGAAAGAGGAAAATTTTGCATATATTTATCAGAACCATCAGAAGTCAATGATTCTCCTTTAATTGTCATGTTGCATGGTGGAGGTTACTCTGCCTTAACTTGGGCACATTTTTCAGTTAGTATTTCTCAGCTTAATAAAATAAAACAATAATTGTTCGTAATTGAGAAAAAAAATCATACCCATTATAGGAACCAAAATGTTCATTTTTGCTTTATTAAATAATCTTTTTTCAGACATCTATCACTGAATTAATTCACTGTCAGACACTAGCTATAGATTTGCGAGGGCATGGAGAAACAGAAACAGCAGATGATAAAGATTTATCAGCTGATTCATTATCTGTGTAAGATTTGAATATGATATTCAATCTAGAATTTATTTCTATTTCCAAATATGTAATTTCAATGCAGAGATGTTGCAGATGTTATTTTACAACATATGAAAGATAAAAATGTCAACTCAAATGTCTTCCTGGTTGGACATAGTATGGGCGGTGCTATAGCTGTACATATAGCAAGTCAAAGACTTCTTGACACCTGTTTAATAGGTATAAAAAAAAGATCCCATAAAATTAATTCATATTACTAATGTTGATTAAATAATTTGTTGTTTGAAGGTTTGTCTGTAATTGATGTTGTTGAAGGAACTGCTTTAGATGCATTAGCAAGTATGCAAAGTTTTCTAAGGAGCAGACCATCTCATTTTAAAAGTGTTGAGCATGCAATCGAATGGAGGTATTATAATATTATAATTTATATTTTATATATGAAAATAAACTCTCCTAAGAGTTATTCACTATTTTATAATTTTAGTGTGCGTAGTGGGCAAATTAGGAATTTAGACTCTGCTAAAGTTTCAATGCAAGGACAAATTATCAAGTAAGATTATTTTAAATCTATTCGTAACACATGGTTCAGTAGTTCTTAACATCTAAACTTGATCATTGCAATAAAAAGTTCTAGAATATTTCAACTATTGATTCTTTTCAGTGTAAAAACAGGACAGTTGGCTTCCTCAGAACTATGGAATAATCCTGAAACTACAAAATCTAGCACTCAGGATGATGTAATAGAAAGTCTTGGTGAAAAGATAAACCCAGATTGTATATTGGAAGAGGAACATGAAGATAATGAGGAATTAAACAATACAAATGCATCAAATTTCAAACCACCTCTACCACCAGAACTGCAAATCTTGGATACAAAAAAGTATTTACTTCCAGTAAATTTTTGACTCTTAAGAAAAACCCAAATTGTTTGGGTACATAATGATTATGAATATATCAACCAGATTCATAAATTACATTCACATAGTTATTATCTAATAATATTTACAGATACAGTTGGCGTATTAACTTATCACAAACAGAACAACATTGGCCCGGGTGGTTCAAAGGACTATCTAACATGTTCTTAGAAGTGCCTGTACCCAAATTACTGTTATTAGCCAGTATAGATGGCCTTGATCGTACCTTAACTGTTGGACAAATGCAAGGTTTGCACATTGCTTTCTAAATATTAGAAATATGAACTTAACACTTACTTTTGGTCTGGTTTACATTATTTTCTTTCAGGCAAATTTCAAATGAGAGTACTTCCTCGATGTGGGCATGCTGTACAAGAAGATAGACCGCATGAGGTAGCTGAAATAGTATCAGAATTTTTAGTCAGGCATAAATTTGCAAAATTGAAAACTGATGTACAAACAACTGCTGTGATATAAGAAAAGAATTGATTATTCTCAAATTATATTGATTTAATTTGAGTCTTGTACAATAGAGTTCAAATGCAAAAATTTATTTCGCTGGAAATGTTGTAAATAGATGAAATATTGGAATACTCAATATTAAATGTAAACTATATTTCAAATAAAAATTTAAGTAAGGCTCACCGATTTTTATATCACATCAATACATCTGTATGGTTCCATTTTCAGAATGCCAAATTGAAAAAAACATAACCAATCAAAAGTAACTTTAACATAATATTAAAAGTTTTAAATATCTATTAAATAGCGTTATCGTCACTATATATGAATAATTTTACAATTGCACTGTAGTTAAATGACACATATTACTTAACTGATTGTATAGCACATAAATTAATATTTTACTTCACTGAACTAGTAACACAATTGGATATTTTACACTTAATATTAAAACTGTTTAAATATAATCCTTATTATAACGATCACGATATCACCAAATTTAAACAAATCATTTAAACAAATTATATACCATTATGGCGCCAAAAATATAAGTGCTCACACTCAACGATAAGTTCAAATGGACAGAAGTACCAACAATGTGGAAAAAGTGCATGAAGCGCCGTTTGTGGTAAAAATGTGAACTGCCAGGGCGTGTTTGGCATTTGACAGTTATTTTGTTTTTATTTACATGGTTATGTTTACTATAATTATTTTAAAGAATTTTATTTAAAATATATTTTTTTGAATGGTATGTGTGGGATATTTTAAATATAATTCATATAATTTAAAAAATATATTTGAATTAGTGTTTAAAATTGATTTTTTTATAACTTGGTTAATGGTTAGTGAAAGTAGAGCATATTTTAGTGACGTTAACATACATTGAAAAGCAGTGGGCTTAAAAGTTTTTTAACAAATACTAATACTTTATGCATCAATTTGCATAATTTGGATAAGATAATATTTTATGTCTGCATTTGAAGTTCTTTATTCTGAGATACTTCTTTACATGTAGTTATTATTATACTTATAATGCATTCCTACAGACGTCGTAAAAAGCGACCTAACTATGGTATACGAACTGTAGAAGTAGCCAGAGGGCACAATGGTTTTGGTTTTACAATTTCAGGGCAACAACCTTGTATTCTTTCTTGTATTGTTACTAATTCTCCAGCTGATAATGCTGGATTACGAGCAGGTGATTTTCTTATTTCTGTTAATGGTTTAAATGTTTCAAAACTACCACATGATTCAGTTGTGCAACTAATCGGAAATGCAAGTGGTACTATAAAAATGGCAATAGCAGAGAACTATTATTCTGACAGTTCAGATGAGGAACTTATTAACTCCATGGGATTTATGCAAAAGGCACACATAAAACAACCACAAAAGGTTAGATCACAGCGTCCAGCTAGAAGTTTGCCTAAATCTGTAAATGATTCATTATTTGTAAATTCATCTCCTTTGCCAGCTGACATGAATGATGATTTGAGTTGCATGAATCATTGTCGAGATATTTCAAATGTGAGCGCCATAGTGTATTCTCCTTCTAAAGTTATTCCCAATTCAATTTTAACAAGAGAAGATAATGTAAATTTGGAGACATGTATATCCAATGAGGATTTGGATACAGCCATTTTAGAATATCATGTCTTTGTTGGATATTTAGGTACAATAGAAATGCCAAAACACATTATTGCAAGCTCAAAACTACAAACCCTACGTGGTTGCATTCGAAGATTGCGCCAAGAAAAAAGAACTCCTGCTATTGTTTTAATGACTATACAACCATCATTTCTAACATTAAAAAATGTAAATAATAAAATACTTGCTAAATATCCTGCTAGCAGATTAAGTTATGTAAACTATAGTTCAGAAAAAGACAAAAGATTCTTTGGATTAGTGACCAGTGCTATTTATGCAAATGGTGAAGTTTGTGAAATAAATGCAAATATTGATATAAATGCCATTCATAACAGAGCTTCAAGTAAAGATTGTAATATTGATTGTGCAATTAGTAATGACGTGATAACAGTATCTAATAGTTGCCATATTTTTATGATTGATACTAAACTAACGGATCATAATAAACATGTGGCTACAGCTTCAGCATTTAATGTATCTTGCACTAAAGACATGATTTCTAATATTTGTTTAGAGTTTCCGAATACTTCTGAGTATATTGTAAATATAATCCAAAGCATGTATAATTTGAATATGTGCTCAGAAATTGCAAATTCTCTAGAATCTGGCAAAAATAAAAAGATCGCCAATGGAACAGCAAATGGTCAAGATGTCTCAGAAATGATGAGAAATATAAGGCTAGATGCCAATCCCAATGATGATTTGCATCACAATGGAAATGATTTTGATGCTAATTCTCCACAACCAAGTAATCACAGTGAAGTAACAACATCTAGTAATAGTGACTCTGGAATAGGATTTCACAATGATTGTTCTAATATATCAGACAGAATTTTAGTAGTTGACTTTCCAGTGAACTTAGGTTTAAATTCTCAAAGAACTAACATGTCTGTATCAAATAATCGTCCTCAAGGAATTGATGGAGATTCTGGTTTTAAACCTCGGCAATGTTGCAATATTGACTCTGATAGAATTGTATCATATGCTGGAAATTCTCTTAATTCACAACCCAGTACATCAGAAGAAAATGCAAATTACAGATTGAATGTTAGGGCAATGCCTAACTTGAATGAACACGATAAAGTAAAAGATATTAATAATACTCCAGAATGCATTTATGAAACTGTCTATTCGCCACGAAATTCGCGATGCTCATATACAGGATCAACTGGGGAAGAATTTGATACATTCATAGGGCAGCCAGTTGATGTTTTATGTCACAATTTTGTAAACTTTGAAAGAGGGAGTACAAAAAATGTATCTCTATCAAAATCCCAATCTTGCTATAACATGGAGAAATTAGTCAAAGATCCAATTGGATTGTCAGTAGATAACTTGTCTACTTACAGTGGAAGAAATCACTTGCTGCTTACACCTACAATGAAAAATCAGACAGATGATTCCAGTTCCGAAAATAAACTTAAAAATCAATTCTTAGATCCAAACATAATGAAATCTTATAAATCCTATAAGAAAAAGAAACCATCGACTTTTAAAAAAGTTAGTACTGATGGCAATCATACTCCTAAGTCCAAGACTAAAGATGCATTATTAAATTATAAATTAAGCCCTCAAGTGTTTGGACTCACAAGGCCAAGTGCCAGCTGTGAAAGTTTGAATAGAACAAACTCCAAAAGTGGTAAAAGACAAAGTGGTGTTTCATTTGAAGAATGGGGTTCAATTTGGAAGCCGAACGCGCGGAAGGAATTTCGGCGATCGATTCCGTTAGAAGGAACATTGAGCGAGCCTGATTTGAGATATACAGAGAAAAAATGCATGCAAATCGAGGTCAGTGTTTTTTTGTTTTCAATTTATATTTTATATTAAATTTCTTTAAATATTGAGCATTATCATATGAAATTCCCATTCCCAGAATCCTATGTGCATAACATTTTCTTTTCTAGCTGAAGTAGTTTCAGGAATGAAACCTGCGTTAAAAAAGGTATATTTAGAATAAAAATGCGATTTAATAATTAATGTAAATTTTTATTTCCAATTGCAGTGTGGAAATAACTTGGAAATTTTTGACGAAATTAAATTTATTTTACAGAGCACGAGTATCATCTATTTATGTACTATTTACACATTTGTTGATAGAATTATGTATTATGTAATTTACGAATTTGAACATATGCTGTAATCAACTAATCGGCATAGCAACTCTTCATATAAGAAAATAATAAATTTTTATTACCGATATTTTCCATAGCTCATGGTATCACGTCAATCAATCAATCATTTTTTCGATTAAAAATCTCCGTTTCGAGTGTTTAATTATAGCTACATATGCTATTACATATATTTTCGTTATCTATGTAATATATAATGAGTCATGAGATATTTTTATTATGGAAACAAACAACAGATTTTTTTTTGAAAAGTACATTATTGTTAAGTGTCCTTTAAACCATTTGTTCTACCATTTTTGAGAAAATGACAGAGATTTTAATTTACGAGATAATTTTGCATTTATCTCGTATATTAAAAGTTACCATCTTCTTCTGCGGATCTAATTTTGTCGACAAGATGGTCCTGTCCTGAGTTAAACAATTTGTTTAAATTTTTTACAAATGTGATCGAACGTGATCTATTACTTGGTTGATTTCCATAGCCATTTACATATGAATAGTATGTAGCAAATATGAAAAATTCTTTTAAAATTTTGTTGTAGAAACTTGTTAAATAAACATACAGCACAGAAAGAACGAAACGACGATGCTCCCAGTCGAACCATATATTTAAATGCTTGCTGCCTTATATGTCATTTCTAGAGCAGTCAGTATATATTTGAACTTCGGCAACGATTATCTGTTGTAGCTCTTTACATGTATTACAAAATATCATATGATATTTAATTTAATTAAAAAATCATAAATTGTTAATTCTTAAGTTTTAGTTTAGTTTATTCTGCAAGAATTTTGTGCAATTTGTGATCAGTGTTTATTTTTAAAGCCTAGTAAAATTAATTACTGCAAAATGATAACTTGGACGCCTCATTGTGCAAACACCACATATTTTTTAAAAACACATTAATTTTACAATAATTATTGCTTAAACGCTGAAAAAACTATTACATAAGATTATTTCTATTACACTTCTTGTGACTAAATTTACAATGTGTTGCTGTGCTGTGAAAATTGTGGTTTTTAAAACGAAATGCTTATTAAAAGAGTTAAAATGTTATGTATTTGATAGGTGATTGTGTAATGTTATGAAATGGCAAGTGTGTTTGCTTATGTAGTATGTGGGGTTGACTCTTTGGATAGTTTTAGGGTAAGTAATTGGAAAATATTTATAATTTTGTATTGGCATTTCATGTATAATCAAAATACCCGATTTGTAAATTTTCAAATTGGTAACTTGAATCGAATTTAATATGAGTATTTAATCAACATCTATGAAAACATTATATATCAAAGAAATTCCTAATGCGTGGTTTTCAATACAGAACTTTCTAACTATATTTTATTCCTATGCAACATTTGTACTCTTGAATTATAATACGAAGAGTTTCATAAATTTCCTGATTAGCATTCTTAAATAATTCAATACATTGTATTTATTGTCATTCAAAGTGAAAACAAAGAGCTGTATTCTATTTATCAAATGTGTGCATGCATGTTTTAATGCTGGTCGTTCTTTGTTCTCTTTAATTTACTATTAATATGACTCAATTAAGCTTACTCTTGAAATTATGATGACTAATAATGATGACAATCCTGTTTACATCTAAGTTCCGCACTTATTCAAAGAATCAGTTATAGCACATTCAAAAAAATAGTTTTTATGCAATATTGTATCTCTATTATTATAATGACTTAAGCAATAATGTAATATGTAATATACTCTATTCTGCGAAAATCTTGGAACAATTGTTCCAAGAGAAAATTTTGAAGTTTTCATCTACATGGAACTGCTTAACTTTCCAAAAAAATGTAAAGAACTATTTTTCTTATTTTATTATATTCCGTATTTAATAATTTCGAAATAAATGACAGGATTATAAGAATCTATTGGATTCGAAATTCTCAAAATTTATTTGAATATTTGAAAACTTTATTTTGGGTTATTACGAAGGTTAATATATTTGATAATAAAATAATGACATTTTCTGCATATTTCTCAGAGCGATTATGTTCCCAAAATATTAATAATATTTGTAAGCCATATGAGTTCTTATCAACGGATACAGATTGCAAATTTCATAACAATTTCAAACAATTTACATATAAGATTCAAAAACTATTTATATGTTGTGGAGCTTTATTGTGATAATTCATGCTTAGTACAACCGATTTTTTTAGTTTGATAGTTGTAAACGTTAATTACCAAAAAATTTGAAAATGTGGACTTATTAGGTTTAACAAATTTTGAAAAATGTAATTATTTACAAAATTTATTAATTAAAATTTTGAAAATTGCTGATTATATTATAAAATTCTTTAATACTGAAACATTCCAAATTTTATGAATGGGTTGTACTGAATGTGAAGAATGTTTTGAATCATTACCAATTTTTTATATGGTGTTTTTTATAATTTTTGTATTTCATTTATTATATAGTGCAACATCAAAGTGATGTTCTAATTAATATGGTCTTTGCCAGGGTTAATTGAGTAATAATAAATATGCACATACCGGCCTTTGACATCGTTAATATTGCGAAGTAATTTTGACCTCTCTTGCCCCTTGCATATAATCTAGCATGTAGGCGTCTAGTTATGCCCAGCATACTGATAAATACTCCAGCATTTAAAAATCTAGAACAAATTTATAGATAATTGACTATAGAATAAACGTATTATTGCATTTATTAGATAATTTATATCAATAGGATATGATTTGCTGTAATATAGAGAAGTTTGAAGTATATCATTGTTGATGGAATATTTATTCATTAGTATTGGTTTATTTAAAATTTATATCAATAGGATATGATTTGCTGTAATATAGAGAAGTTTGAAGTATATCATTGTTAAGGAATATTTATTCATTAGTATTGGTTTATTTAAAACAACTATCATATATATGTATATTTTTTATAATTTATGATAAAAAATATCTAAATGGAAATTGACTTGTTTGAGCTTATCTAAAGTGGTTAATAGAGATAATTATTATTTCTCTACTAGTAAAACAATTGAATGAATGTACTGAATCCGAATCCGAAAGAAGTCCGAAATACGACTAACTCTGGCATTTAATTCAACTAAGAAATAGATATAATTTTATTTATAGATTTATCAATAAGGTAGAGAAAGGCTTAAAGGTCCACGGGAAGAAAGGTCTACCGCCTTTATCTAAAAAAAACAGTAAAGTTAAGAAAAATGTGTAACCCCGTCTGTGCGTAAAAAAGGACCAGGTGACACATTTTCGAAAAACAGCAAAAAAAATTTCTACAATGATGAATGAGCTGGGAGCTTTACTGAACATAGTCAGAAAGTTTTTTGTTTGATTTGTGTTATTTGTTGTGATATAATTGGTTTGGTTTTCACAATATAATTGCTCAAAGCCAAATTGGATCTTTGTGCCCCGGGCTACCCTACTAGTAAAGGAACTTGAACAAATGTACTGAATTTACAAATAAATATTCCGAAAATCGATTAATTCAGCCATTTAATTTAACTAAAAAATCGATGTTATTTTTACCTATATATTAAATAAACATTTGTTATTTTCGAAATACAATTTTCTAAACGGAGAAGAAGGTACTTACTAAGTAACCTTTAAAATAATTAATCATTATCAACCTGGTTGAAAATAGAGTGTTATTTTTCTGCATATACTTTTGTAATTAAACAATATCTAGGCTTGTATTGGCTCAATCGCAAGATAATTCATTGTTGTTTTTTTATCAAATTTTTACTACTTTCAAATACAACAATCAAATTCTAATATCATTATGTACATAAGTGAAGATGTTGAAAAGCAAGAACATCTTTGTTTATCATTAAGTTCAGACAAATTTGGAAGCTAGAGAGAAGTATGCATATTTCTTATTTTGCTTAAATAATTTTATATTTAAATCAGTATCGTTACTGTCGCCGATAGATTATTGCTTGCTGAGATGCATTAGCCAATTAAATGAATAAGAAGAAGAATGTTATTCCAATGTTTAAACAAACTAAACAAACTATAATAAAAAAATAAATAATTTAGCAAAGATATCCCTGAAAATTATTAAATTAAAATGCATGTAATAAAAAATAATTTTTACATTGGCAACTAAATAAGGGCGAAAATTGTTGGCGCTTGGTTAGGAGATGCCTCGACACATCCTGACTTTGCACCATTTCATTACTTTCAGTTTAAATCTTCAAAAAACTCCTTGAATGCTGAACAATTCTATAATGATGGTGATATGAAATTGTACCCAATTCACTTGGGAACTTGGTGCTACAGGGTTTTAGGTTCGATGCCTCGGCCTGTTGAGATATCAAGCAGAAGTAATATCGGTTTTCTCTTGAAAATATAGAACAAAATGTGTTTCAAGTCAAAATGGTACTTTACCGGTTTTGGTGTTTCAAATTAATAATATATCAATAGTATTAGGATAATTCTGACGATAAAAATATATCAAGTATTGATAGGTTAACCGTTATGTTGCTCAAAAGCGACATTGTTAAGAAGAAGGCGCATTGAACTGTTTAGTGCTGACTGCTGTCCAAACAAAAAGTTCTCTACTCTGTACCACAGGGTCAGTTTTTTTTGCTAAAACTTTTGCTTTCGGTTAATCATTAATCATTATTACATTAACCTTCTATTCATCCTTTTTAGTGTTATAATTT